GTCGCCTGCGCGCACACCTGCGTCGCCTGCGCGCACACCTGCGTCGCCTGCGCGCACACCTGCGTCGCCTGCGCGTATACCGTGCGTCATGTCTGCAAAGNGCTTCCTCGTCTGCGCACGACTACCTGCGTCGTGCCTGCCAAGAGCTTCCTCACGCCTGCACAGAAAGAGATTCCTCGGCGACCTCGCTGCGCGCAACGAAAGCTCGCTGCACGGAAGAATACGTGTCACCCCTGCCTTGTTGAAGAATGGACGGTCCCCTATTATAGGTCAAGGGTCACATCGCAGTGACACTGTTCGCTGTCGTTTTTGTTTACTTCAGTCTCAAATTTGTTTTAGTTTTTATGCTTACAATGTCCGGCTGTTAAAATATGTAAATATTTATGCTTAATTTATACTCAGGCCATTCCAATTAAATTTCTTGGTACTGGGATGATTTTTAGAAAATTATTGGACACTTGTCTAACATGTTACTTGTCTTCTAGCTTGTCATCCCAATGCTTCCACTGTTGTGTAATCATACTATGATTATCTATAAAAAATAAGGCAACATAGACAATTGCATGGCAGGTTTTGTCTTTAATGTGTATCAAAAGGAATGCAAAAAACATGGTACAACACAGGCAATACCTTGGGTTTACGACAATAATATTTAAAAAATTGTACACAGTGATGTAACAAGTTATTTCTATCATGATCATAATGATTCCAGTCAAAATGCATGTATCTATAACCTTCCAATATATTAAGGTATGTCTTATTAGAATTGATCCTACCACATACACATATACTTGTCTTTAGATATCATAACACAGAACATTATAATGCCAACAATGAAATGGCTTGACTTTCGTAGATATATATATATATATAATACACTGTCAGATTTTAAACCAAGGTACGAATATTCGTGGTCTTAACATTAAATGATGAAAAGGAAGATAGCAATAGATAGTGATCTGGTGTCTTAGGCAGGGTTGAACTCCACATTCCTGGTGTAGAACAAACCAGTACCACCCTTGGTCCGGTACTTTAACTAGAAAATAAAGAGAATAATAATGAGATGAAAGCACCATAATCATTTGCTTTTCTTTCTGCAGACAATCAGTAACTAAAATACTGTCAAATTTCATACTGCATCACATAACATTGCATAGATAATCCTCTGGTACATGCATTACATTTCTATTCATACACCATGACTTTGTATGGCTTTTTCTAAGTTGATACCCCATCATGGGTTCCTATTCCACAATAATATTACTAGTATTGGCAGTGCAGCTCATAGGTGGTCATGAGTGTTTATAATAAAATCCAAACATTGATGAATATCATTTAGTAAACATTTACTGCAGGTGGGGGAGGGGGACCTGGCCAATGCTTACACTAGGTGTATCATTCTCTTATGCTCATGCTTCTGGTTGATAGGAATGTATCTCTTTGAAATTACAACATATGTTAGAAATATGTATATATATGTACTACTTTTCTACTTTATTTGGGAAAAGATCCTTTATTTGTTTGAGAATTTCTCCCTAGGATTATAGTTGACACCCAAAGCAGTTTTGAGTGTCCACAATATGGATGACAAATCATTGAACATGTTTGAAAGTCTATAATTCTTTATCAAAAACATGTACATTTTCAATATCCTGCAATATGTTGGACTTACATATGTAGTTTTGTTTCATTTGACTTTTAAAGAAATCTGTTGTGGTTTTGAAATGTATGCAAGTACCTGAAATTCCCACAATGTAAACAATATGGCTGACAAAATGTTGGGAAGTTTGAGAGTCTATATTTCTGGATTAAATGATGGATCTCTTCTACATCCTGCAGTAGTGGGATAGGAGATATGCAGTTATGTTCTGTTTGACTTTGAAGAAGATCATTCTATATTTTTGAATTTATTGCCAGCACATGATGTTCTACACACTGTAAACAATATGGCTGACAAAATATTAAGCAACTTTGACAGTCCATATTTCTGGATCAAAAGTCATGATCACTTTGATATTCCAGAATATGTGGGAGTGACATAAGTAGTCAAGTTTCAGTTCAGTTTCAAGAAGATCAGTTGATGTTTTTGAATTTATGCCAGCACCTGAAGTTCACACATTGTAAACAATGTGGCTGACAAAAATAAAGGCAACTTTGACAAGGTGTATTTCTGGATCAAATGAATGGATCTCCTCAATATTCTGGAAAAGGTTGGAGGGATATCTCTAGTTATGTTTTATTTTACTTTAAACAAGATTGCTTCATTTTGTTGAATTTATGCTTTTGTTGAATTTATACTGTAACGTTACATGTGCCTGCCCCCCCCCCCCTTCCCCAATATCGTCGCCTACTTCAAATCCGGTCTAAAACCGTGTATATCGTCGCGGGTCGGGAAGAATCGATGCCCAGACTGCCATAGGATGTCCTCAAAATGTTTCTTTGGAATCATTCGCTTTGTTCATGCAAATAAACAACGGGCACTTACCGGGGAAGATTGAAGACGAGGTGTTCTGGTGTTAGAGGGCAGATTTCGTAAGGGCAATATTAACATAATCTATGCAGGATTTCTATTAATTAATTTTATCACTAACGGGCCCGTTATTGATTAATAAACGCGCTGGACATCGTAAGCATAAAAACTAAAACAAATTTGAGACTGAAGTAAACAAAAACGACAGCGAACAGTGTCACTGCGATGTGACCCTTGACCTATAATAGGGGACCGTCCATTCTTCAACAAGGCAGGGGTGACACGTATTCTTCCGTGCAGCGAGCTTTCGTTGCGCGCAGCGAGGTCGCCGAGGAATCTCTTTCTGTGCAGGCGTGAGGAAGCTCTTGGCAGGCACGACGCAGGTATTCGTGCGCAGACGAGGAAGCTCTTTCTGTGCAGGCGTGAGGAAGCTCTTGGCAGACACGACGCAGGTAGTCGTGCGCAGACGAGGAAGCTCTTTGCAGAGATGACGCAGGTGTGCGCGCAGGCGACGCAGGTGTGCGCGCAGGCGACGCAGGTGTGCGCGCAGGCGACGCAGGTTTGTCCTTGTCGGCCACGGTAGGTTTTTATAGATGCACCATACACAACATGTTAACTCTTGTGGTAGATCGTATATTACACATCTATCACGTGCAACATATGCGGACCATTGGTCTATAAATTTAAGCCGCCACTACACTGTCAACGACCAACGGCCGAATTTGTCGATCACTAGAAGATCGTCATAAGCCCAAACCGCGACCAGAGAGTTGAGCGTATCTTTTTCCTGATAATACCCTCAGAACGGCCCGTTTAGATGGGGCTCGATGGCCTGCGAATATCAGCTGATCGCTTAGTGACCGAGAGGACACCGGCTGTGTTACTGCCTAAAATGTCATTTTAGAGCTCACAGACTCAACGATTGAATGATGTTCTTTCTGTGTGGCCGCCCTTTAACTTTACAAACAAATAGTACAGTATCCACAACAGTAGTACCGCTTAGTTCCACTATATAGCAGTAGCCTACTGGCGTCACTTTTCTTTTGATGTCAACGAATATCACAATGTCACAAGCTACCGCCACGTTCAAAACATGCCTATGTCAAAACCCTTCTACTCCCGTCGGTAAGCAACAAAAGAGTCTTTGTGTCTTTTCCTTCACAAATTGCTGCCTATGAAAAGCAAACTTTGATCATCAAAGTCCCTTCAACATAGCTCCACTTATTAATCATTGAACAAGGCACTGGTCGAGACATCTACAAACACAGAACCTTCAACAGAGGATGCCAGCTTGTTTTAATTTGGACATCGCAAACAGTACATGTTTTCATCAATCTTTCAACACATCATTTTGGGAACAAAGGAAAGAGAGGAACGTGCATCTTTTGTTTACTGGGCTAATATGAACATATTACATAAGGGGCAAAGAGTGAACATTAACATGGTTACAGATTAAAAGAACCAGCCAGGGGTGTGAGGTATGAAATTTCAGTGCTTGCCAAAGTATTAAGAACCGGATATTGTCAGTTGTCATCAATTTCTATCATTCGTAATAATAGAGAGAAGTCTGACAGTGGCAATTTGCTCAAATTTTTAAAACGACAAATACGTGTTTTGACTGAAATATAGTTTTGACCCGGGAAAAGTCTCTGGCTACCAGCGGATTTCGTTGAAACTGCAGCTATATTTTCATTGGTGATGACATGTTTTTAACGTTTTGTCACCAGTGTGCGGCCTGCAGTGCGCTAACGGCGGCACCATTGACCCTGTCTCCTGCTCATGTGACTGTCCCCCTGGATTTGACGGACGTACCTGTTCAGGTAAGTTGGGGAGGGGGGCAGGCAAATATGGATATTTGCTACGCAAAGGGCTTTGGGACACCATATATATAGGATAAGAGTAAAGGAAAGACGCCGTTAACTTATCAGATTTGCGGATACATTTTCTATGTAAATCAATAATAATGATATCTTTTAAAGTGATTCTAAATACTTTTTTTCTTATTGTGACGTCAGATTCATGCAAAAACGTGCAGCCGCACTGTGGCGCTTCTCCTGGTTGGCCCACGCTGGACATGTGTGTCAACGATTACGTCATCGACGGGTGTAGACAGTGGTGCGGGGAGTGCGGTAAGGAACAAGTCTTACTCTTTGAAATAGTCAAAAACAGGGTGACTGGATCAGATAGTACTTGATGACAAGAATGTACTCCCAAAGGGTGTGATACTGATCTTTGTCGCTAAAATTATTTTGGAAAGAAATATTCGTTATCATTATGTACAAGACAGTTGCAGGCAAAGTTTAGGCACCGCAAGGGGTTGTGGGTAAGATCAGGGGTTAAGAACTAGACCACAATGCATCACGACTACATGTGCGTGCTCATGAAATGGTTTATTATGATATATTTCATTTCATTTCTTTTCGTCTCCTCCATTCAAGAGTGTGCCGGGCCACCATGTGCAAACGGTGGGAGTCGAGGCGGTGTTCCCTCGAACTACGGAGAGAACACCTGCAACTGCAACTGTGTTGAACCGTGGACTGGACCAACGTGTGAAGGTATGGAAAATATTGTTTGAAACTATATCATATCAAATACAACATGAAACACATTCATAGCACTTAACATATAATGTTGTTTGTCTCTTTTGGGGGGTGGGGGTACAGGATTGTATAAAAACACCTGCATTAATCTGCGTATTTCCATGTGTTACACAAAGCTAAGCCCTTTGGCCCTTCTGTACTTAGTAAAAGTTCTAAACAGCAGTTTCATCTGCTCTCTGTATGATGTGGTTATAGAAGAATGTTCAGATAATTGAACTGTACGAACATTATATTTCAGTCTGCACCATAGACTGTAAGAACGGAGGTGTTCTGGACAGTAACACCTGTACCTGTACCTGCGGACCTGGATGGGACGGACCTACCTGTGAAGGTTTGTTATTAAGGTGTAAAAACATAGGCCATAGATAACTGCTACTTTATTCAACATAGTACAGACACATTTTTAGCAGTAAAAGAAAGTAGTTATGTTATTCTAAAAAAATATGACTATCAAAAGCAACATCGTGAAAATTATGCCTCTTTTTTCAGTTAATACGACAAATTTCGTTGTCTTTTTTGCTCATTTACTGACAGTGATCCCTACCTGCTATCTTCCTTTGCATCCAAAGTAGTTCCGTGACTTGTGCATTATGGAACTTTTTCTATAGATATGAAAGTTTTACAATACAAGTCAGTTTTTGGCGATGCCTCAGTGGGGGAGCCTTTTTTTACATGCGTCCACGTTTCTATGTTTGTAGACGAGTGCGCAGATCACCATGACTACTGTGGGGCCAGCCCAGGGTGGCCCAATACGGACAGTTGTACCATCGGCTACGTCAGGGACTACTGCCGTGCCATGTGTGGCATGTGCCAGAAAGAACGTAAGACTGACTTTACAACCTGTTCACGACCGAGTCACGACCAAGATACCGTATAATTAAAATATGACGAGTTAAAAAGCTCCCTATCCTAGGTTTGTCAGGTTTTGGTAGTGTATATATATCGAAGAGTTTTAATTTTATGGCAAACTCGCTTTGAAATGCATTATACCCATTTCATTGTTGCCATTAGATTTAGAGTCATGGCATGTTAATATGTATACGTCGCTGTATTGTTATTAGGATAATATAACAGGCGTAGGTTTTGAAACTATAGTCCATCCTATCTTTAGCTTCTTTTTGTGACTAATTCCATAAGACGATATCACGCATTTGCCAACAGAAATGGTATAAATTTATTTCTTCAAAACCGTCAGAAAATAGAAACAAATATTTGAATAAATCGATGCATTTTCTTGCAACTCTAGTCTGCACCTTACAATGTCTACATGGTGGAACCGTGGACGAGGAGGCCTGCAGCTGCGCATGCGCGGGAGGTTGGACTGGTCCCACGTGCAATGGTAAACAACGATACAAGAAATGCTTCAAAACAAAACTTGCACTACTAGTATATTAAGGCACTTCTGCTCGCTGGCGAAGACTTGACAAAAGCGCTCTCTACCACCTTGTAAACACATTGCAGCAGCAAAATATCAATAACCTCTGCACCGCTACAATTATGTGCAACTTAATGCGCTTCGCAGATGTTGTCGCAAGCTATAAGCAACATCATTGCATCAGAACTTCTAATTTTAGATATCTTGGATATTGATGCACAAATCAAACCTGAAAGATTGCAGTCTAGACCACAAGCAAGCCATTATTTTGCATAGTTAATGCTGCAAAGTAATAAAAAGCACACACATGCTCACATCATCCTGATATCGACAATACAGAAACAGTGCCATGTTGACTTGTTAATATGTCTTGCCCCTGACTTCCTGACAGAATGCCAGCGTGTCTGTGATAACGGAGGAACACTGGACCAGGACACGTGTACCTGCCGATGTGCTCCTGGCTTTGACGGCGCCACATGCTCTGGTACGGAACACCCCTTGTCTCTTCTTACCTGACATACCACTGAACAAAAAGGGGGATTTACACATGTCAGGCAATTCTGATAATGATTGACATCTAATGGTATATGCAAACATTGTCAGACTTACATCCCTGTTGTTTAGTGTAACATTTACTTAATCATTACCGGACGTACCTGTGATAGTGTCAAACTTGTCCGGGGATAGTCATGTAATAGCTAGATTGACAAAAAAATATAGTTGGACATGCATAGCTCCACAAAAAGTGGAGCTTACTAGTATCGACTAATACATACAGGAAGCCTATTCCTTGCTCATCGCCGAAAGCAACTATTACAACTTTCCTGGTGTTTAAAGCAATCTTGATGTTGAGTTTCAAATTGTCAAATGTGTTCTTCAGATCCGTGTCAAAACATATCACCCCTGTGCGGAGAAAGTCCCGGATGGCCGACCCTTGACCTCTGCTCCTACGGCGCAGTGACGGACAACTGTCACCAGTGGTGTGGACAATGCTGTAAGTAATCCTGAATGATAGAACCAATATCATATTTTTGTATACTTTACAAAGCATGCAGTATACATTGCAGCTGAGATATGTTGAACATACTGACAATCAATAGATCTTCGTCTTTGATTTCTTATATATCTAATGTACATATTTGTGCATTTCTTGTAGCCTGTACGTCTGTACCCTGTGCTAACGGCGGCACCAGAGGCGGCGTTCCTTCTAACTACGGAGAACACACGTGTGACTGTAACTGTGTCGGCAAGTGGGCTGGACCAACGTGCGAAGGTGTGGGGCAAAAAATTAAATTCAAGCTTAACAAACAAACAAACAAACAAACAAACAAACAAACAAAATTAATTAACAGTACAGAAATTATCCGGATCAGAATAATACGGTTAAAATTACTTGTAGTAGTAGTATTGGTAATCTTTGATTGCCATATCATAAACATTGTCAAATGTTCCCTTCCTACTTTAAGCTTGCATTTGCCTTAAAGCTTTAACTTACGAACCATGGTGAATATTAGTGTGGAATATTTCCGTTTCTAGAGTGCACTCTTGACTGTAAGAACGGCGGAGTTCTTGACCCAAACTCTTGTAGCTGCACATGCGCAGACGGCTGGGATGGAGAGACATGTGAAGGTGCCAATTTTTTTACTATTATAGACTTTCGAAACTACAATTGATATTTTAAGTTCTGATTAAACAAAAAAAAAAAAATGTTGTCTTGGATGTTATGAATATGTGAGAACTTGAAGCATGATAGAACTATATATTTTTAGTGTTGGGAGAAACACAAATTACAGGAAATCGTTTTAAAGCTAAGCATAATAAGAATACTTTGATAGGACCAAATACTTATTAGTACTTTTTTCCTGAAGAAAGCCCAATAATATGGTAAAATAATGCTTAGTAAATGTTACTAGCAGACGATAAATAAAATGAGTGGCCGTGGATCTAACTCCCAGCTAAAACTTAAAATACCGCGAGCTCAACTGTTGAATATTCCTCCTATGTTTCATTGTCAGAATCGTGTCAAAACCAGTCACCCCTGTGCGGAGAAAGTCCCGGATGGCCGACCCTTGACCTTTGCTCGGACAGCGGAGTTCACGACAACTGTCACCAGTGGTGTGGACAATGCTGTAAGTATCAGTGTATATGACGAATATCATATTTTTGTATACTTTGCATACAAAGCATGCAGTTGTTGCATACATTTTAGACGAGATACGTTGAATGCACTGACAATCAATAGATCTTATGCAAAGTTAGCCACTTGTTGGAGCGCTAATCCTCCTCTCCGCGGCAAAAACTCCATCGGCAGCAAATCGTCCCTCGCGGCTGCATATTACTCGCGTCGCTCAGAGAAAAAATAAAGCAGACGCCCAATAAGACTGCGAAGGAGGCTAATGCAAAGCTATCATGTATCGTCCTTGGTTTTGTTATTTATTCTTATGTATTTGTACATCCTAGCCTGTACGTCTGTACCCTGTGCTAACGGCGGCACCAGAGGCGGCGTTCCTTCTAACTATGGAGAACACACGTGTGACTGTAACTGTGTGGGCAAGTGGGCTGGACCAACGTGCGAAGGTTAGAAAAACAAGTTTAATATATAAACATGACGTTAATGATATGTAACTATACTTGCCAACATTCTAAAATAGTTAAGGCCTGAACGGATACAATGAATCTATTTTTGCTTTTACCGTTCAGCTGTAATTTAACCTTCATCACTTAGATTGGAGTGATTTTATGTGAGGGTCACCATGCAAACTTTTCACTTGCTTTTGTATCAGTTCACAATAGTAAAATTATTGGAATATTTCCGTTCCCAGAGTGCACCCTTGACTGTAAGAACGGCGGGGTTCTGGACCCCAACTCTTGTAGCTGCACATGCGCAGACGGCTGGGATGGAGAGACGTGTGAAGGTAACACGCCATATTTTATGAATATCAATATTGTAAACATTCATTCAAACATTCAAACATGCTAATACCCATCGTCTTTGATATGTCTTTTTGCTGATGTCCCAAAAGTGTTCAATCAATTTGAATTTCAGACCCTTGCCAAAACATATCACCCCTGTGCGGAGAAAGTCCCGGATGGCCGACCCTTGACCTTTGCTCCAATGGCGGAGTACATGCCAACTGTCACCAGTGGTGTGGACAATGCTGTAAGTGTCATTGCATATATCATATATCATAATCTTCTTCAATTTTAAAACAACCTTTCAAAAGCACATGACTATTATTAGTCTAAGGGAATATGTAGAAGCACTACTCGTTTTGCTGTGATGTTTGAATATCAAGCTACTCTTTGACAGATTAAGTCGGACGTCGATGGACAATTGAAAGGATGAAAATATTGCTCCTATATATCATTGAGCCTTTATATCTATATATTATTATTATTGTGTCTTCTCTTCATGATAGCCTGTACGTCTGTACCCTGTGCTAACGGCGGCACCAGAGGCGGCGTTCCTTCTAACTACGGAGAACACACGTGTGACTGTAACTGTGTCGGCAAGTGGGTAGGACCAACATGCGATGGTAAGATCAAAAGAGGTAAAAGGGGTCGAACAAGTAGTAAATAGATGTAAAAGACAACACGCTTTTAGAGAAGATCGTGAACAGTTGTTTATCCCTACACCGTATGTCTTTTTTTTTTAGAAATAGTTGAGTACAAGAGACACTATTTCATATTTTCCTCTCCCCTTTTGTAAATCTTACTAGCTGCTGACATGAGACTGTTTGCTAAAGAAGAGAAGTTAGCAAAGCAGGCTGTTTTGTTGACTTTGATATACTATGTATTTATCTATCCCAGTGTGCTCTCTGGATTGTAAGAACGGAGGAGTTCTGGACACCTCGACCTGCAGCTGCAGTTGTGTAGCCGGGTGGGATGGAGAGACATGTGAAGGTAAAATACCCTTTTTTATTCAGCAGAACGATTTTCTATGACTTTGTGACACTTGACGCTCGTGGATGCAAACAAGGATACATCACTGACGACGTGTCCTTGTTTAATCTGCACATGTGTTTCTGGAATGTGAATATTCAACCTAATTGTTCTGTCTGAGGTTTCTTACAATGATGATTTCAAGAGTTGTTGCAGCTTGATAATGATACGACTGATATTCTACAAGGACATTGACTTTTGACATCTAATTTTTTTCTTTCTTCAGACGAGTGCACTGACACGCACGAGTACTGTGGCGCCAGTCCAGGCTGGCCTAACGCCGACTCCTGTGTCCACGACTACGTCACACAGAACTGCCATGCCATGTGCGGTCTATGCGTGAAGGAAGGTACGTTAATCTTAACGTATACTTCAGATCAAATGTTGGGGATTTTTTATGCCATCTCTCACTTTATGTAGAAGTGTAATAGTTTCCTATTTGTCCTTGGTTTTAGAGCGAACGTTTTCATCCACTTTACAGTTTAGAAGCGCCAGCCGCCATGTTGGTGTCCTTGATTTGCAGTTCAATGGATCGTAACTCAGGCATACACACCATTGGGGGTTTATCGGCTTAAACCAGCCATAGAGAAGAATTCAATAATGTATTACTGTAACAGTACCAACAAGAGTATTTCTTTAAGAGTTTTCTTTAAAATATTTGTAGGTCAAACAACCACTCCCTTGACAACCACACAACGACCAACTACAACCACTCCTGCACCAACAACGGTTACAACTACCACCGAACCAACAACTGTAGCGACAACTACCACCGCCAAACCACAGACGGAGACCTCAGTGGCAACTGGAGGTACTGCAGCCATTTTTCAAATAAAGATTTAAATTTGCTAGCAGCACACAAAAATCGACGCAGTACCATTGAGAGACGCTAGGGGGTCCATGGCACGCTCCCCTCGTTTTGCCAGTACCTACGCAATTCAAGATCTCCAAAAAATGCTTCATAAAAAATAATGGTGAAGCTGAATAAGAGAAGCTGAATAAGACACTAATACAAAGATACTAATACAAAGTCGTTGCGTTTTAATTTTCCCAGTTGAAGACGTCTTTGTCGACCCCTGCCAGAACCTGTCCCCTCACTGCGGCGCCAGTCCTGGCTGGCCCACGCTGGACATGTGTGTCCAGTACCCGTACGTTCGCGACAACTGCCCGCAGTGGTGTGGAGACTGCGGTAAGCTACTCCCATCTAACATCTAGACGCTTACACTTAAAATAGATGAACAATCTTTAAGGTTACGACATTTAATGACATGACTATATCAACCTCAATACTAAGAGAGAAAGCCAAACCATGGAACTACAGACAGAGTGCTTACTTTGGGTACTCCGTTTTCAGTAGACTATAAAAACATTACAATACAACTCTCGCCCGTTGTTGAACGTGTTGCAGATTGCTCGGGCCCGGCCTGTGCCCACGGTGGGACCCGTGGAGGGAACCCGGCCAACAACGGAGAAAACACCTGCGACTGTAACTGTGTCGGGGACTGGACTGGTCCATTGTGTGAAGGTAACCCTGCAAATCTATCTACCCCCCCCCACTCTCTCTCTTTCTCTTCACATATGCATGTATTATGTATATGCGAGTACATCTCTCGCGTTACGATACGCGTTACGAACCAATGTTAGCGGCACGAGAGAGCATAGTATCTCAGATTGACCAATATTTTCTTTGGGAAAGAAGCACGACATTGCTCAAATTACGCATTTTTCCATCCTTAATCTTTCATTAGTATTTTTCTATATAAGCTGAAATTCATATAACTCCGTTTAATTTCAAGCGTCCATAGCAACGAATGCCGCAAACTGATGTCTGTTATTGACAAATGAAAATCTATTCTGTTTTTGTCTATTTACCGTAGAATGCAGTCTTACCTGTGTGAATGGCGGGACGCTGGATGAAGCCTCCTGTACCTGTATCTGTGATGTCGGATGGGATGGCGCGACCTGTGCAGGTAACTCAGGCGTTGGAAACAGTTGCATAGTCAATGTCATATCTCCAATTAGCCCTGGAGACTCTTGGATGACGTCGTTTAGTCTTATATTATATATTCCTCAAAACTGAGTCAGATTCTTCCGCTGTGTTATGGTCCGTTTTCGCCAGTTTCTGGGTGTTCCTAGCATCCCTGCACTCCTAAGACACGGACGGGAGGTTGGGAGATCTTCAAATCCTCTTCAATATTCCACAGTGCGATCATTTCTGCCGGATTGAGCTCTCCATACAACCAGCCCGCCATGTTGTTTACATGTTTGGTAAAAGTGGAGTAAACGTAGCGTCGCGTTTGTGACAAAATTACCGAAGCCGCTACAAAAAAGATCGTTTAAAACTAACCTACACTTTTAATTTTATTGTTCTTTGTTTTCAGACAAATGCGAGGACCATCATGAGTACTGCGGAGTTAGTCCAGGCTGGCCGACTGTTGATTCCTGCTCTACTGACTATGTCAGGGAATACTGCCCAGCGTTCTGTGGAACATGCCAAAAACCAGGTAGGTGGCAGGTATACTTATCCAATTGGCCACTAGATAACACTATTTATTGGATACTGTCTGACAGATTGGACATTTTTTTGCCCTTTGCCACAACCTTGACTCTGCCACCGATAGACCTGCTATTATTAAAGAGATTAGTGTGTGGGGAGGCAACCTACAGTCCTACTTTTTGACGTAGGTTGCCTCTATCTTTCAAAAGCAGTGCTGTTGAACCGCTTCATTTGTTTCTTTTTTCCTTCCTCCTTAGTGCTCTGTTTCAAGAACTGTGCAAACGGCGGTACTTTTGATGAGGACACGTGTTCATGTGCATGTGCGCGTGGCTGGGACGGAGAGACCTGCGAAGGTGAGCATTGTAGCAGATGCCACCTGCCAGTTTTAACTTTCAAAGACTTTCATACCCTCTTTTACACTACGGATGATGGTGATGTTGACAGTGTCGATGTCGATGATGTTGTTAATGATGTTGATGATGATGTCTGAACCATGAATACTTTCTAAAAATCCACCTCAACGGATTCGGTGTTAGGGTTAAAGTTGGGCTTAGGTACTAGATGTTGCATGGCAGGTTAATAATAAAGAAGGAATACATCTCTAAGAAATTATAACATGCCCTGTGTACTATCCAGACGTTTGTGGGGACAGTCACGCGAACTGTGGAGCTAACCCTGGCTGGCCGACCCCTGACCTGTGCGTGGAGGACTACGTACACGAGCTGTGCCATGCCTTCTGTGGGGTGTGTGAGCCGAGTAAGTGTGCAAAATACTTACACTCAATCGAATCTTATGTTAGAATTCACAGTCTATTTTGGAAAAAAATAGACAGACACAGACAGCAAAATCACCCCAAAAATCATTGAAGTCACTGAAGTGAAGTTACTGACATTTTGGAATCTATAAGCTAATCAATTTTAATACAAGCTGTCTTTAGATTTTGATAGTCTCAAAAGGCCAGATGGGCGAAGCAAGTAAATCACACGGACCTGTTGACCAACAGAGATACAGATAAGCTAGAACCCGCAGTGAGGCGCTTTTTCTATTTTTTCTTCCATGTAAGGCTGCAACCTGCAGTGCCTCAACGGCGGTACGTTGGACCCTGATAACTGCACCTGCTCCTGTGCTGACGGCTGGGACGGGGAGGCCTGCACTGGTGAGGTTTACTTATAACTATTGATTATCATTACTACTTAAGCAGTACACAGTTAGTGATGAGCAAAACCAGAATGAGTACATGGTACAGAGGAAGTCTTGTAAGACCGACGAAATGCCTTCTACTAATGCCTACTACTACAGTTACATGTAGGCCGTAATGAAACGGTCCAAGATACTTACTAATAAAGATAAAATATTCAAAACGACGAGACAATTGTAGATAAAGACAACAAAAATGTAAAAAAATCTGTTTCAATTTACTAGGAAAAAGATTGCAGGAAATACATTTTTTTTGCTTCCGAGATACTGCATACTGGCCTCGTTAAGATGCATACATATATCATGGTGCCACTTGGAATGTACTTCCCCGTCCGTGTGGTTTTATTATATTATTATATTTCCAGAACCCTGTGGTAACGAGAGCCCCCTGTGCGGCGCCAACCCGGGGTGGCCTGACGTGTCCGCCTGTCAGGAACTGTACGTCCAGGACAGCTGCCATCATTTCTGTGGAATCTGCAGGAAGGTAATTCATTTTCTTCGCGTGAAAAAGAAATGAAACACAACACCATATTGATAAAAGATATATAGGTATCGATGTATCAATATGTGACTAAATTTCTTCATGACAAAGATTCATGTTGCTCAATTCACAGGTAAAAATTAGTACAATATACATATGAAAGAGGTAGATACTAAGATAAAGATGCATATGTGAAGGTAGAGGAACACGTGAAGTACAATTATAAGAGAGACCCAAAATCAATATCAATAAATATTATTTTAATGACCGAAATTCGCAGTTAGGTGTTGAGTAAAAAAAACTATATCTCTGAATGACATGTCACGATGAAATACATATTTTAAAAGCAAACGATGATGATACAAGCAAGTTTTGAATTTGTCCATAGGTTGGTGACACTTGGGGCCAGGCAACGACAGCAGCGACCACTACAACCCCGCAGCCCACCACCACTACAACAACCACAACTCCTGCGCCAACGACTACTACAACCACCACTCCTGAACCTACAACGACTACAACCACCACTCCTCAGCCTACTACAACCCCGCAGCCTACTACAGCGTCCACCACTACACCGGTACCCCCTGCACCTGGTAACGTACATGTATTATTTGGTGGTCTTTGGTCTCGTAGTTGATGTAGCCTAATAGGCTATGTTACACGATCTCTTGCTGTCGAGTGGTTGATTAGTCCCTCAGGAGTTTGTGGCCATAACTTGACAGAACCATTTCTCTTCTCCAAACTGCTAAAAGAGATAGGTACTCAAAATCAATCCAATGGAGCTTCAAGATCCTTTGTCACCTTTGAACTCATGCCAGGCATAACAGTCTTCAACACAATGGCAACAGTTTAAAATGTCGCCATAAGAAGTTTTGTTTACTGTTACTGATTTTAACACCCTTCAAATCGAAGTTGCCCCAACAATATTCTGTCATATGAATTCTACTTCCATTTTAAAGTGATAGCCAATAGTTTTCATAACTTTAAGGTGCAACAACTCTCTCGTTTGCAGGTGCATGTTATCACATGGGGTACTACTTCGAAGACGGTAGCCGCTGGGACGTGTTTGAGGGAGCGTACCGTGTGGAGTATTACTGCACCAACGGGCAGATCACAGCCACGAACAGGGTGCCGCTAGCACCTGTCATGTCAGGTTAGTATGGAGGCTGTTTGCAATCACGTGATATTGACGTCATTTAACGTCGGCCATGTTGGTGAGTTAACCCTATTCACACGGGAGGGGGGTGTCTTTTGAAGCTGGCGCCAAATTTCATGCCCTATGACGTCTTGACTACTACCACCGAACTTTGTGACTTTTCCTAAACTATCTGGAAACAATTCCATAATAGTGACATAATTTTTATAATTTTTCATGTTTCCATGGCAACAGTTTTCTGACAGCAAAAATAGTGATAGTTGGGTCTACTACGCACTGCACCTAGGTGTCGCTGCTACAGTACAAAGAATGTGGTCCCAAACGTGACTCGTATGTTAATTTTGCTCATTGGTTTACCAGCCTGTGTTTGTGGAGAAACTGATTGACTGTTTCTTCCCCCCAGTGTCCTGTACGTACATGGGACAGGAGTACAGTGACGGGGCCTCGTGGGACCTCAGCTTCGACGGCTTCACGATCTCGTGCCAGTGTGACGAGGGTGCGGTCACCTGTCTCCCGGTCTCAAGGGCTAGCCGTTACCGCCGTTGAACACACGGCGGGACAGCAGACGAGTTTTTCGTTTATGACTCATCGAAAAGATCTGAAAAGCATTTTAATCCTTTTATCTAATCTGAGAGCATGATTTAGTTACAAAATAGTTGCATAATAACTGTGTGTTTGTGAATAAAGAGTTCAATCAAGATGTTCTTTCTTATGTTGTTTTTTACCATAAAACGTGTATAATAAATTGTTTATAACATGAAGACGGTATGGGAGTATGATAATAATTAAGGGTTAATGTCCCGCCCCGAGGTGAATATGGTGTGATAAAGCCTTGTCAGTTGCTATAACCACAGAATAAAGCCACCAAGTGAGCGCAGCGAACGAGGTGGCTTTATGAGGTGGTTATAGCAACTGACAAGGCTTTATCACACCATATTCACCGAGAAAGGGCGGGACATTAACACTATTATCATATAGCTTACACGATAGTCTATCCAAACTGATGCAGTAAGTGATACAATGCACATGCTGAATAGAACATAGAACATAGTTCCCTCTGGAGTCACCTGAGGTCACTGGGTAGAGTTCACGTTCTATGTCTTCTATCTGGGTCACAGGCAGGGAACAGGTGTTCTTATGGGAGTCAGCCGAGGTCATTGGAACACAACTTAAGTTATTTTTGGATTTTTTAGAACTAGAGCCCTGTTCTGCGGGTGATTATTTGGGTTGTTTAATGTATGGATTGGGATGAATAAATACCCGATTTTGACTCTATTTGTGACATTACGACGTCATAAGGAATGTGGAATGGAGCCTTCTGATTGGTCAACGTCACCTGGCTATATGATAATACCTGTTCATGCACTTTTGTGTAAGAGACCCGTTGATAACTTCCTGTAGAGCTTTTAAATGTCAACAGAAGAATAATCACAAAAAGGACAGCAGTCTGTAGCACGGTATTCTCAGTCCCTCGGTGTAAGTAGGCCAATTATGATGATAATATCAAACGGCTTGTGAAAAATATGATATCTATCCCTGCAGGGAAAATCCGGTTCCATGTCTTTGAAAGCGATCTTGCTATTGAAAAAACCGAGGCTTCTGAGAAACAGATGCGACAGGAAAACTGATTAAGACTCTTGCTTCGAGAGCGTATTCATAATTTGATTTCCGGCATCCTCATGTTGCTAGGTAACCAGATGGGATTGCACTATACAGCCGGGGGCGAAAAAAACGGCATATTGGAGAACATCAGACGTCTGGTCTTAGCCACAAAGTTTTGCTTTTTCAATATGAAGCGAATTTAGACTAATATTTTGGACGCGTTCATGGATATGTCATGATACGAGCACTGTCCCGATTCACTTTTGAAACAAAACCTGATGAATGTACGACATTAGGACAAAATGATAGACAATTAAAATAACTGCTTGCATGGCTAAAAATAAGATGCCTTCAAAAGAAATGATTGAAAAGGCATAGCGAAGGTCCCATTATGATTGTCAAGTGAT